TTATATATTCTCTTAATTATTAGACATTAAATACAGAAATTAAACAATAATGTTTTTATTTTTTGATTTTCAATATTATTTATATTATTTACTGATAAATATATTTACATATTACTGTAAGTATTGTATTCAAGCAAAAATATCAGTTATTCAAAATCAAAAAAGAATATGATAAATTTTCTTTAATCATATTATGCATTATATTATATGAAATTATATAAAATTAGTCTCTTATTTTTGTAAACATTTTATAAATTTTATTTTATACGATCAATTTTATTTTATAGTTTAAATTAATATCTTTTAAATAAAATTTACCATTTGAAAACAAATATAAATAAAATGAATTCTGATTTTTTATTTTTTATTAATTGTCAGAGAGAATATAAAAATTCAAGGAATATAAATAAATTAATATTTTGCACGAAAATTCCAATAAAATTGATTAATTATAATAAAAATAATATAAACGTGATTTTAAACATTTCATTAAAAAAAAGTGATTTTTTTATTACATCTTATTAAAATGATACGAAATATTTATATTTTTCAATAAATTTTTATGTCACAAATTTTAATGTAATATTTAATTTTATTTAATATATCTCAAAGATATACTATTAAGACTTTATTATAAAAATTAAAAAGATTATATCATAAATTCATTATATGAAAATAATGAAATATTAAATCTTTCCATGAATGAAATTTCTTGAATACCGCATTTTGCAAATAAACAATGAATTTATTCAGCACAAAAGTTTCATATGCCAAAGAAAAAAGATTTAAACGATTCTCTTGAAATACGAATTTTTAATGACATTTTTGACAAATACTACATGAATTTTAATTTCCGCATTTTTCAATAATAGAAATCATAGAAAATTCATTTCGTCAAACGTAACAAATATCCATTTAATATTTAAAAACAATAGCGTTGCGATAAAATCGATTCTAATGAAACTTGATCCTATATTACGATACCAATAATTTTATCATTTTATATTGCTATTCGTCAAACAAACTTTATTAATATATTGCATTTTAATCGACTTATTTAACACCAATATGGTTAAAATTGACAAATGATAATATATCTTTCAATATATATATGTATATCTTAATATTTGAATTCGTTTCGCTAAAAAAATAAATATTATAAATTTTAGTATAATATATATTATAAATATAAACAAATAATGAAAATTTTGTAATAATAAAAAAAATAAGCAATTATTTCGATAAAAAAAAATATTTATGAATAAAAATTGAAATTATCACAATGAGAAATTAAAATTTTTATTTTGTATAAATGAAATAATTATTTTTTCGTTCTCAATCAAATATATTTTTTCTCAATATTTTCAAATAAAAAATTAATTATTTTTCCATTAAAAAAATCATATATATATAATGATAATTATTAAAAAATATTTGAAATAATATCTTTATAATAATAGTTGCTTAATATTATTTAATATTATTAAATAATAATAATATTTAACGAAAATAAAATAATATTTAATAAAAATGATAATTATTATAAAAATACCTGAAATAATATCTCTACAATAATTGTATTATAAATTTCATGTTTTTTTATATAAATTATTTTATTTTTCAAGATTTTAATGTCACTTACCCAGCATGAAGAAACATATAAAATGCAAACCTCCAGAGCTCGAGACGTTTGTCCGGTCTGTAAATGAAAACGCTGTCGATTGGTACCGGTCCTGAAGGATTTACCTCTCCCATCGCCACTGTATAATATGTAAAGAAACCCAGCTATAATCAAAAATTAATGGATATTATCAATAAATTTTCATGATTTTATAAATTAATAATGTAGGTGATATAAAAAAATGAAAATAAAAAATTTTATAAGAATTTCTATAAAATTCTATTAACTAGACATGTTTATTAATTAAATATATTTTTAACTAGATAAATTCTATCAAAAATATATATTCAATAATTTTTATTTGAAATATAATTTTAAATAATTAAAAAATTAGTAAAAAGAAATTCTTCTTTTTTATAGTAGTTTATTTATAAACTATATTTATAAATATATTTATAAAATTTTAATAATAATAATGATTTTTAGTTTATTGTATTTATGATTTATAATTTTTAATAAAAAATAAGAACAAAAAATAAAAATGTCATTTCAAATATTTTGTATTGTTTTTTTGAAATAAGCTAATTTCAAGAAAATAGAGATTTCTTTAATTAAGAGATTCTCTAATCTTTAACTAAGAGATTAAATATATTTTTATATTAAATACGTTATTAATTTTTAAAATTTTATGAATACAATGATGTATTTTATTATGGAAGAAATAATAGATTTTTCTATTTTTAAATTCATTCATAATTTTTGCAAATTATTACAATTCCACTATTATAGAATATGATTTTATAAAAAGTTAAGTATTTATAAAACTAACTCAATGAAATATTTATATGTATTTATCTTAACGTTTTCAATAATTCCTTCTATTAAAAAAATGAAAACGATCTTTTATTTTTCTGATACTATTTTAACTTTATTATTATTTTAACTTTTTTGTTATAGTTTTATATTAGTAATATTAAAAATATTATATATATATTTTAATTATTTTCATGTTTCGCTATTGTAAAACATCTTAAGTTAAGAAATATTTCTTCTATAAATTCTGCAAATAATATTTTTTTATTTCATCTTTTCTAAATATATTATTTATGGAAAATGCTTTGAAGTAAAATA